AGATCACCAGGTCTTTTTTCCCACAGAGCTGCTGGTGGGTTTGAACCACCAACCAAGTGCTTTAACCACTGTGCCACCAGGGCTCCATGATTCCCCTTAATGTCATTAATAAAGGGGAGGGAAAGAAAAGGGTGATGTGCAATATAAAGAGAAAGCAAAATAAAGTGCATTCAAGGCAAAGCTGGGGGGATATGAGGGGGAGAGGAGGGGAGGGAGAGACAGATGAGGAGAAGACCCATGTAGCAGGGAGTAGAAGTACAGAAGCAGAAAATAAGCAACTATCTCATGTGTTGGTTGCTTTCCTCTGGCCACATCACAGAGCAGTCTCCCTCCCTGAAAATATGGCGGAAAGAACAGTCACGCACACACAGCCATTTCCACCCTCCCAGCTGGTCCTTGATTCCATGGGAGGTGGGGGTGCACAATGGTTAGAAGCACAGACTGCCAGCCCCATCACTTACCACTGTGGAACTCTGGGCAAGTTATTAACCTCTCTGAGCCTAAGGTCCTTCACATTTCATAGGGTTGTTGTGAGATTGAGATAAGCCATGTTCCGGGTTTAACACGGTGTCTGACATACAGGAAGAACTCAAAAAACACTAGCTGCTATGCAAGTTCATAATCTTTCATCCAAAATCCATGGGATCATAAGATTTCAGAATTTGAAATTTCACAGATTTTAGAAAGGTACTATAGGGCCTAGGGTAACACCCTATAATCAATATTTCTGCATCAAAGTATATGAATATTTACATTAAGGGGGACACATAGAGTATAAATAGCCTTATGTCAGTTTAGGAAGGGTTTTGCCACCAAATGAGGTCTGCCACCAACTTAGGAAAAAACATTCAGTTCCGAGGTTTCTGGAGATCAGAATTGCAGAAAAGAATCTGTAGCCCCAAACTGTGACTGTGATTAGCGTGAGCCGTGGAGGGAAGCATTTTTGTGCAACAGGGATCAATGCTACCAGTTACCTGAAGTTCAAATATCAAACCCCAGACAAACTCAAACTAATCTCTTACATGGATACAACAGCCTTCATTTTTTAACAAGCTTTGATGAACGTTCTGTCACTTGGTTCCCCACAGTCCCAAGTCAGGGGTTACAAGTGTGATCATCCCCATATTATATACAGGCAACCGGAAGTCAGAGAAGGCAGGGAACTTGATAGAATGGAGGCTCTGGGATCTGAGCCCAGCCCAGTGAGCTGTTACCTGGGCCAAACTGCCTTTTGCTCCACACTGTCTCCCACCATTACATATTTTCATCACCAACCTTATTCAGTGGATTGTGAATACCAGCGGCCTCCAGATAGGCTGTGATTTCATATAAGAGTGTGTTATCTTCTTTGGGGTAAGGAAGTGAAGGGTCCTGATAGTGGGCCTCAATATCTGCTAGGAGAGCCCTAAATGAAGGAAGAAAAAAACAACAAAAAACCGAAATACTAATAAACACTAGACATTACTTCAATTTACACAAGTTTATACAAGCCAGTAATGTCATCTTTGGAGGCTTCGGTTTCTTGATCTGTAAAATGAGAACTTGGTCTTTCTCTCAATTTCCATGTCTGTGACTAGTTGTAAGTGGGAAATCTGACCTAGAATTCCTTTCTCTTTTAGACCTGTTGCCATCGAGTTCATTCCAACTCATAGCAACCCTACAGGACAGAGGAGAACTGCCCCATAACTGCCCCATAGGGTTTCCCAGGCTGTAATCTTTACAGAAGCAGACTGACACCTCTTTCTGCTGCA